CTCTTGCATTGTCCCTCCACCCTTCCAAGCATGATGTCCTTCTCCAAGGATGGGTCACTCCTTGCAACATGCCCAAAGTATGTTAGAAGGAATTTCAGAATCCTAGCCTCCAAGGAGCAGCCTGGTTTCAGCCTCTCTAAGAAAAACCTGTTTGTTTTCCTAGCAGTCCATGGTATATTCAATACTCTTATCTGGTACCACAGCTCACTGGCACCGATTCTCCTTCTGTCTTTCCTATTCACTGTCCAGCTTTTTGACACAAAGCAAGTAATTATGAAGTTGATGGCCTGGATCAGGCGCATCTTAGTCTCCAGATTGACATCGTTGCTCATCAGTACTCTGGAGAGGTCCCTAACAGCAGACCTTACCAATGTAACTTATCTTTTGATTTAGAGGATACCTTTAATTTTTTAAAAAAGTTTTATTATAAAAATTATCAAACTTTTATCAACATAAGAAACTTGATATAGTGAGTTTCCACTTACCCATCATTCAGTTTCAACCCAATACTACACCTAACTTGTCTTCCTTCCTCAAACTGGATTGTTTTGAAGAAATTTTTTTGGTCTTGTTTACCTTTTATTCTTTATTTGTCAAGAGACTATGAACCAGAAAACCTAAGATCTAGGGCTGATTTTGACTCTCAGCAGGGCCAAGTCGTCCAGAACTCTGACTTTTTCTGTTTACCTGAGTGGATCACGGTAGATACCCTTTTAAGTTTCCTTCGAGTTCTAGAAATCAAAGTCTTGCTCCTGCCACCTGTTAAGCCTCTAGAAACACACTGATTTGGTACAGGATCTAAGTGCTGGGGTTTGGATTAGTTTTGTAGCAATGCCCAGCTGGGAGTCAGGAGCCTCTCAAAAAAGTCAAGGGGGGAAAAATCCTGAAAGTTGAAGGACCAGTTATTAAACTTCAGGATGAATGGCATCTCTTGGAGTAGTTTTGTACTGCCCTCAGAGTCTCGGCTGAAAACCTCAATCTATCTTAAATATTTTGCTGAAGTGTGACCCTAGGCAGGTTTAAGTTCTCTAAATAAATTCCCCCTTTTAAAAAAATGTTACCTTGAAACCAATAGCTAGTGGAAAATGATGTTTATGATCATTTCTGCAGGCGGGGGATGTTAACGTTACTCTTTTAAGTCAACAAGGAACTGATTCCTGTCAGGCTGTAGGATGACCAGGAAAGGACACGGCTGTCTATTTCACAAATAAGCTGAATACGAGGTGAAGTTGGCGTGTTCTTGGTTGCTTGGTAAACAGAGGATAAATTCTGGAATAGAGTATCTTTTAGAGTTCTGGTGAACCGTGCTTAGGGTAGAGGGTGACCTTCACAGGGAGATACGGGTTCTCTATGGTTAATGGAGCAACCTTTGGGCAAGAAGAGGTGGAATCCAACACCAGCCACCCTGTAGTCAGTGACCCAGCATTAGCACCCAGCTGGGAAGCGACGGTGCCAGGTCTCCTGGCTGCTGGTATGAATTTTGTTCCCACTCTGCTGTAGCTGAAAACAGGACTCTCCAATAATGAGACCAGAGAAATGTTATTTGGAAAAAGACAGTTGTCAGTGTAGTGAGAGACGAGCAAATGCTGGTAATACTGCAAAACTGTATTTAAAAAAAAATCAGAGAGGTCCAGAAGAGAAAAAGTGAATCTCCCAACTGGGAAAAACCCCTAAAATTACCATTTTAAAAAGCACGAGTTCTAATCACCTCTTGAGGTGGCAGGATACTATTGACAGGAACTATTTTCGTTTGGTGCCAAGTTTGTAAATTGGGCCTTAGGTTTAAAATCCTCTGAAGAGGAAGGGTGCAAACAGTATTGAGGAGGCCCCGGGGGGGCGTGGCTGCACCTTGAGGAATGCCTGGATATAAAACACATTTCTGATGGGCTCTGAGCTGGGATCAAAAGGTGACCCTTTGTGTCCTTTCACCATAGCGACCCAGCGGTTAGATTCTGGGGCTACTCTTGGCAGGAAACGGTAAAGGAGGTGGCAGGAAGTCTAAAACAAGGGAAGGAAAACTCCTCCCTCCCACCAAAGAACGGCCAAGAGTGACCAGGAAAATGAGAAGTGAGCCTTGAGTCCTTAATTGTCTGGGGGAGACAGAGGGAGAGAGGAAATAGAAAGTGGCTCAAACTTGAAAGGAAGTAAAAGAAATGTGTGAAGGCTGTGTGACGAATTTGTATTTATTGTGAGACTTGAGTGTAGACCTGGGTTTCCACTCTCGGCTGATCCACATTCACCCCTGAGGCTGGGCTTTATTTATCTGGGGTAGATGGGCAGTGGTTTGTGAGCTTTTAGGGATCCAACTGCCTCTCCACCTCACCCCAAGGAGAACCTGCTCCATTCACCATCTCCAGCTCCTTGCAGTTGTAAAAGATCCAGAACTGGATAATCTTAGCAGGGGAAAGAGGAATCAGATCGTAAGAAAGACTTAGTTTTAAGCAGCAGAGAGGAATGGAAATGTTTTCTTGTTCTACCAAGTTCTTTGTAAGCAAAGTTTCTCACTAGATTTGTTACTTCAAAACTCATGTTTTAGTGCCTTGGCGCTGCTGATCCCAAATGAGACCTAGGCTTCTTTTGAGGAAAATTTTATTAGGAAGCTGGCAAAGGAGGAAAATTTACAGCCCTGTTGTTACTGTTATGTGCTGTCAAGTCACTTGGCAGCTCATAGCAACTATATGTACAACAGCTCTGAACCCTGCTCTATCCTGTGCCAACCTTATTGTCTCTGATACACCTACCCTCATTACCCCCAGTCACTGAACCAATCCATTTCATCGAGGGTCTTCCTTTCTTGCATTGTCCCTCCACCCTCCCAAGCATGATATCCCTCTCTAAGGACTGGTCCCACCTTGTAGCATGCTGAAAGTATGTCAGATGAAGCTTCAGAATCCTTGCCTCCATGGAGCAACCTAGTCTCACCCTCTCTAGGGAAAACCTGTTTTTTCTCAAAAAAACAGTCCATGGTATATCCAGTACTCTTCTCCATCACCACAGCTCAAAGGCATCAATTCTCCTATTACCTGTAGTCATAGTCCAGCTTTCTGGCACATAGCAAGTCATTGTGAAGACTATGGCCAGGATCAGGTGCACCTTAGTCTCCAGACTGACATCATTGCTCTTCAGTACTTTGAAGAGGTCCCTGACAGCAAGACTTACAGCTCTGCTAGCTGCAAATGGGTTTTCCAAACCTCCCTTCTACCAAATGTCCAATTTGGAAGGAAGAAAAACAAGGCTGAGGTGTGACAGTGACTAGCAGATAGTTCACAGTTAAGATAGCAGGTTATTATTCCATCAGTTTGGAAGCTTTAGGGGTTTTACTTCTTGTCAGTCTACACATTCAGATCTGAATGAGCCTTATGAATATTCTTTTGGAATAACTTCTGCAAGTTCCAACAATTCCCTCGTTGCTGCTGTTGTTAAGTGACAAGCTGACTCACAGCAGCCCGGTGAACAACAGATCTGAACCCTGTCTTATCCTGTGCCATCCTTTCTGATATACTCGAGCCATTGTTAGTAACAATCCATCTTGTTGAAGGCCTTGCTCTCAGGCTAACCTTCCGCCACCTTTCCAAGCATGACATCTTTTCCCAAGGACTGGATCCTCCTACCAAACATGCCCAGAGTCTGTGAGATGAAGCTTCACCTTCTTCCATCCAAGGAGCACTGTGGTTGCACTTTCCTAACTACTAAGACAGGTTTCCAGTAATCATTGCTATAGGGTCAGTTATAAGAAAGACAAGACGGCTCTAGTGCTGGTAATGACTGGCCACTACCTCTCATCAGATTCTTGATGTGAGAAAGGGGGGATCTAATAAGAGAAACTGAGTCAGAAAAGAAGCCATGTGTCTGAACGTAGAAGTCTCATTTGTATAGATAAGAGCAGCTTCAATGTTTCATTTCTCATGCTCGATTCAGTAAATTATGCTGCTTCTGGTGACAATAAAATATTAAGAATGTTTTCTATCTAAGGTGCTCAGTACCAATAATGAGATAATCATTAATAGTGTGGTGGATTTTAATATTAGCGATCTCGTGTTTAGACTGTTACCTGAAGAAAGTAAAAACAAACTGTCCTGAATGCTGATTTTGCTGTTTCAATAGGAAAACAATTTCAACAGGCAAGTGGAAAAAAAAACCAAACCAAAAAAAAACACACAAACCCTTAAAAGGCTGGCGTGGGGAACAATTGAGTGTAGTTTCATAATGGGTATGAAGAGTTATTTTGCTTCTAGTGTTGTTTTTTTTTTTTTTTT